AAAAAAAAAAAAAGGCTGGTGCAATGGCTCACACCTGTAATCCCAGCACTCTGGGAAGCAGAGGTGGGTGGATCACCTGAGGTCAGGAGTTTGAGACCAGCCTGACCAACATGTTGAAACCCCATCTCTAATAAAACTACAGGAAAATCAGCCAGGCGTGGTGATGCGTGCCTATAGTCCCAGCTACTTGGGAGGCTGAGACAAGAGAATTGCTTGAACCCGGGAGGAAGAGGTTGTGGTGAGCTGAGATTTCATCACTACACTCCAGCCTGGGCAACAGGGCAAAACGCCATCTCAAAAAAAAAAGCAGCAGAACACCATTGTGTTGGGGGAGGACTGATCGGCAGATCAGAGGCTTAGAGGTGGAGTTAGAGATGTCAGAGAAATCAAACCAATGCCTTAGATTGAGAGGAGTAACTTTCACACTTTTCTGTGACCACACATAAAAACTACATCTGTCTCACAGAAATACAAGTTTCACCAAGCAATACTTATCCTTACTATGTGAATTCATTTGGATATTTCTATTCTATTTAATCCATTTTTTAAATGATAGCTGTGAATTCTTACTAATGAGTCTCAACCCACTCTTTGACAAACACCATTAGCAAAGAAATCAAAGAAAGAAAGTCATTTGGAGCTGGAGAGATGCTGTGGTTCAGCGGTATACCAGCTGTTGGGATGCCTGAATCTAAGATCCAGTTTGGTTTTGGTAGTATGGACTCAAGCATGACATTTGGGAAATATTTCTAAGGTTCCTTCCCGGAAGCCAGGTGCAGTGGCTCATGCTTGTAATCCCAGCACCTTGGGAGGCCAAGGCCGGAGGATTGCCTGAGGTCAGGAGTTCAAGACCAGTGTAGCCAACGTGGCAAAACCTTGTCTTTACTAAAAATGTAAAAATTAGCTACTCAGGAGACTGAGGCAGGAGAATTGCTTGAACCTAAGAGGCGGAGGTTGCAGCGAGCCAAGATCACGCCACTGCACTCCCGCCTGGGTGATCAGAGTGAGACTCTGTCTCAAAAATAAATAAATAAATAAATAAAATTATTTCCTTGACATTCCACTTAGCCAGAAAAAATGTTTTCAGTACACTCTGGGGTCTCGCCTCCTCCTCCCACGCGCTGCATTTTTGGGGGGTGTAATTTACATACAGTAGAGTTTACAGATCTCTTGTTGATCGCTTGGGACATTTTTTTTTTTTTTTTTTT